GCTACCACTGGGTAATCCTACAGGTCACTCTTCACTCTTTTTTGACAACATCATGATAAGGATGGGAATTTGAGACACACTAGCATGTGTGAGATCAGTGATTCGCTGAAGCACTCTACTACTGCAGTACATGTGCTCCAAAACACATTATACCCCTCTTGAAGAGCAAGGTTTCAAATGAAGAGAAATTACATTAATTTTCAGATGAATGTGCTAGCCAATACAAGAACATATAGAACTTCATGAATCTGTGCTATTACAAAAAGGACGTTGGACTTTAGGGGGAATGTAATTTTTTTGCCACTCCCATGAAAAAATTGCTTGCGATGAGATAGGGGGCACAGTGAAACGACTCACAACAAAAGCCAGCTTAAAACGTCCCGTGGAAGAACAGATCGTAATACCAGTGAACATGTTTGCGTTCTGTGAGAAAGAAATCCCTGGAATGAAGTTCCTACAGTATACTTTGAATCCAGTGAGATTGAAGCTTCTGGCCAAGCATTGGCCGCAAGGTTGCCAGAGCTAAAACAGTGAAGGGGACCCAGATGTTTCATCGAATTGTTTCAGAAAGTACCTCCAAGGTTAAAGCGAATGACTACAGCCAATCAACACAACCAACATTGATTACAGTATGCCATAGGAATGAAGAAGATACAGAGGAAGGAACCTGTCCTACCATCTCAAAAATGGCATCAGTACCTGGATTTGTTGCCTGCATTTATGACGACCAGTGGTGGATTGCCCTGGTTGAGGAGAAATCAGGCGAAACCTTCCACGTAATATTCATGCATTTAGTGGCCAAGCCAAACAGACATTCTGGCTGGAAAAGGAAGACCGATGCTGCGTTCCAGAAAAGGACATTTTGTATAGAATTGATACTTCACGCCTTTTGACCTCTTCTAGTAGCTTTAAAGCGAAAAAGCAAGACAAAATCAAGTCCGAATTCAAGAAGTGCCAGAATGAAGATAATTGGTGCAAGGCATGATGAAAAAAAAACCTGATCCATGACTGAACAGGAAATATTTTAAGCCTTCGTCACAGATAAGAGTTCAGTGTCCGAAGACCTGGGAATGCTGTACTGTATTCTGACTGTCATTGTAAGATTAAGACACATAAGCAGAAATAGGGGGGAAATTCGAAGCACAGCAAACTTTAAAATGTAATTTTAGTACAATAAGCAAAACTGCCGCTACAAAACTTTTGCCACCAAATCAACTGAGTGTACTTAAGCAGCACTAAGGACTTAGCAATATTCTAAGCTACCGCACACAAAATCAAAATAGAAAAAGCCATGCTTAATCATTTTTACCCCAAGATCAGTGTTTCCGGTGGCGTATGGACAGGACTTGAATAGCTTCAAAATTATTTGCAGGAGAACAAAAAAATTACATCAATGAAACTTTGCCATGCTCTAGTTAAGATATATGTGCTTTGTAAAAGTGGCTCCCGTCTGGTTTCTGTTCGACAAGGTCATCTTCAAGGTCAAAAGTCGCTCATATGTGCTAAAAGGTCAACATATGTTTGAATATCAGTTTTGATCACGTATTTGGAATCCCACGAGTCTCCCGTTTTAAAGGACACCTTGTTTGTCGAAATCAGACCATAACTTAAGATTTCCCCCCCATATTTCCAAGGGAATTTAAAATATCCGTCCTTAAAATTTCATACGCTCATAACTTTTCAACTATTAGCCAGAGAGGGGAAAAATTGACCTGTAATTTTCTTTCATTAAAAGTATCCCACACAACCATTTTCATCAAATTCTGAGAGGGCACCCCGTATTCGATTGGGTGATTTGACGTGGAATGAACCATACATAGTTCATGTCAGTTACCAAAAGTTGACTGGGTTTTCAAGCAAAATATTCTTAGAATGTGGACNGGTCCCGGGCTTATTTTGACCGTTAGGAACCCCCCTACACGCAGGTATGGCAACCTTCGAAAAAAAAAATTCCCTGCACCCTCCAGGGCACTTGTAACCTTTTTTTCTGGATATCCCTCGTAATTGTATTGTCATCCGTGACTTTGCTGAGAACTTCGTAGTGCAGGATGAGATCCAGAGCTACCACTGGGTAATCCCACAGGTCGCTCTTCACTCTTTTTTGCCAACATCATGACAACGATGGGAATTTGAGACACACCAGCATGTGTGAGATCAGTGATTCGCTGAAACACTCTACTACTGCAGTACATGTGCTCCAAAACACATTATACCCCTCTTGAAGAGCAAGGTTTCAAATGAAGAGAAATTGCATTAATTCTCAGATGAATGTGCTAGCCAATACAAGAACATATAGAACTTCATGAATCTGTGCTATTACAAAGAGGACGTTGGACTTTAGGGGGAATGTAATTTTTTTGCCACTCCCATGAAAACATTGCTTGCGATGAGATAGGGGGCACAGTGAAACGACTCACAACAAAAGCCAGCTTAAAACGTCCCATGGAAGGACAGATCCTAATACCAGTGAACATGTTTGCGTTCTATGAGAAAGAAATCCCTGGAATGAAGTTCCTATACTTTGAATCCAGTGAGATTAAAGCTTCTGACCAAGCATTGGCCGCTAGGTTGCCAGAGCTAAAACAGTGAAGGGGACCCAGATGTTTCATCGAATTGTTTCAGAAAGTACCTCCAAGGTTAAAGCGAATCACTACAGCCAGTCAACACAACCAACATTGATTACATTATGCCATAGGAATGAAGTAGATACAGAGGAAGGAACCTGTCCTACCATCTCAAACATGGCATCAGTACCTGGATTTCTTGCCTGCACTTATGACGACCAGTGGTGGATTGACCTGGTTGAGGAGAAATCAGGCGAAACCTTCCACGTAATATTCATGCATCTAGTGGCCAAGTCAAACAAAACTTATGGCTGGAAAAGGAAGACCGATGCTGCGTTCCAGAAAAGGACATTTTGTATAGAATTGATACTTCACGCCTTTTGACCTCTTCTAGAAGCAAGACAAAATCAAGTCCGAATTCAAGAAGTGCCAGAATGAAGATAATTGGTGCAAGGCATGATGAAAAAAAAAACTTGATCCATGACTGAACAGGAAATATTTTAAGCCTTCGTCACAGACAAAGAGTTCAGTGTCCGAAGACCTGGGAATGCTGTACTGTATTCTGACTGTTAGGGTAAGATTAAGACACACGTAAGCAGAAATAGGGGGGAAATTCGAAGCACAGCAAACTTTAAAATGTAATTTTAATACAATAAGCAAAACTGCTGCTACAAAACTTTTGCCACCAAATCAACTGAGTGTACTTAAGCCGCACCAAGGACTCAGCAATATTCTAAGCTACCGCACACGAAATCAAAATCGAAAAAGCCATGCTTAATAATTTTTACCACAAGATCAGTGTTTCCGGTGGTGTATGGACAGGACTTGACTAGCTTCAAAATTATTTCCAGGAGAACAAAAAATATGGCATCAATGAAACTTTGCCATGCTCTAGTTAAGATACTGTATATGCGCTTTGACGGTAAAAGTGGCTCTCTTCTGGTTTCTGTTCCACAAGGTCATCTTCAAGGTCAAAAGTCGCTCATATGTGCTATAAGGTCAAAATATGTTTGAATATCTGTTTTGATCACGTATTTGGAATCCCACTAGTCTCACGTTTTAAAAGACACCTTGTTTGTCGGAATCAGACCATAACTTAAGATTTTCCCCCTATATTTCCAAGGGAATTTAAGATCCGTCCCTAAAATTTCATATGCTCATAACTTTTCAACTATTAGCCAGAGAGGGGAAAAATTGACTTGTAATTTTCTTTCATTAAAAGTATCCCACACAACCATTTTCATCAAATTCTGAGAGGACACCCCGTATTCGATTGGGTGACGACGTGGAATGACCCATACATAGCTCATGTCAGTTGCCAAAAGTTGACTGGGTTTTCAAGCAAAATATTCTTAGAATGTGGACGCATATTTTCATTCTTCGGTACGAACAGAAATAAAGGAGAATAATTCAGTTAAAAGCATTACCCAGGTACCCTTTAAACCATAAGAATGAATGAAAACCATAGAAGCCATGCATACACTCACAGTTGCTTGGGTATTCCAGCAAGAGCTCAAAGCAAAAGGGGATGTCGCATTCCTCCATTTGGGGATCTTTGCCAGATGTGGTAGTCCAACACCATGGTGAGGAGATAGCTCCATCTGGATTGCGGCAAAAATTGTGTCTACTGTCTAGGGAATCCGAGAAGGCCGGTAGAACGTCGTCATATTGGCTGCCACTTGAAACTCGGCTTAGCCATGGTAGGCATGGTTTCCCAGACCTGGACACATTCTTTTTCCCTAGATATTCTCCGCCGTAATGCGTCAGCTTGCACTCCATTGGAACTGCCAAAATGGTTGAACAGGGGTGTTTTGACGTAGTAAGAGTTTTTTTGGGTCAATCTGATATCAACATTTTTTAATGCTCGTAAATTACTAAACGAAGCTGATGTGAGTCTCGCACGGGTTGCTTATTTTAAATTTGCAAGAAAAATGGAGTAAGAAGAAGATCGCGGAAGGAGCGACTTCGATGGTTGGGTATCAAAATGGTGAGTTGGAAATCTGCAGAAAAAATAATGGTGAAAAGTCCAGATTTTAGAAATATATGATTCTACATAAATTTTGCACCTATTATACAGCCTAATATGACTGGCATGACATACAAGGTTGTATACAATTTATTCCTACTTTCAGAGCTATAATAAGCAACCCATGCATAGTAAAGCTGTTCAACTTGGTGTGAACATTAATGCGACTATGGGAAGGATGGGTATGTGGTCATCGGATATGGCAACCTCCATTTGCTTAAATTATGCATTTGCTCAATGCGACCTCCTTTTATGCCTACGATTGCTTGTATCCGAGATATGCGGTATTAGACAGCTGACCGAAGCTGTACAACTTCTAATATTGCTTCATGATGGCGGATGGCATGTTTGAGGTCGATTAAGGTGGTATGTGCTGCACTATGCGCTACATACTTTAAACATCACCGAAGCTAAAAGTCTACTAGGCAGGTCGGGTTACAAGACCATGCCTACATGACTATTAGTTGGGTTGGAAGGACAATGTTCAGTTAATTCCTGGACAGTCTGTCTAACCACCGGCTCTCCTATCAGATGCCATTCTTATTGCCACGCAACAAGCTCTGCTTGGGCATGCAGATTGCCTAAGTGAGGCACTCGTACTCTAATAACAACAATGCCGGTGATATGCTGCACTCTTTGCGCCGTGGATTTTGACTATAAACCCAACTATAAACCCAACGTGGGTCCTTCGTTTGCATGTTATAACTGCCTGAACATGAGAAGAAACTTCATATGGAAGAGTTCATTTTTCTGGAAATCATGAGAATGTTGATTTCACGGAAAACTGTAAAAAATAAAATTAAAATTTCAGCTCTGATTGAAGATGATATCTATGTAGTTGACCATGTACTCCTGGAGCCTGGAAGTCTGTACAGAATAGTGAAATATTATTTTGAAAGGCACTCATTTTGTAAGTGACTGCGCAGAGAATTTTCAGAAAAGAATTTCCAACATCTTGGGATCTTTGGCTGATAAGAGGCACTCAGCAGCACACCATCCCTTACAAACTAACCCATATATGATTGGTGAAGTAGGACAGAGTGCAAAGATGCATTCCATGAACTATGACATGTCTTCGTCATCTATTTTAATATAAACAGCTTATTCATTTGCAAGCTAAATTCTAAAATACTACTTGGGTGTAGCAGTGACGCAGCCAGGAATTATTTTCCGAGGGTGTCTTGTGAGGCTCTTGCGTAACAATTGGGCATCATGAGAATTCTTGGTTGGTTTTTAAAATACCTGGTTATGAGCTAGGTCTTCCAATGCCTCATAGATAATGATCAACGCCTAAGGTAAGCCTGACGGCATTATTGCAATTTTATAATTCAGACAATACGACACATGCAATAACTTCAACGGTAGATTCCCACCGTAATAGTAGCATAGGAGAAGTAGAGCGGGTATTTGCAACACTCGGCTCGCTTTGAATTATGATCATTATTTCCCAATCAAATGAGAAAGCCTCAGAGGATGACGTGCAGAAAATGCCGCAATACAAAGGAATTTGACAGATGCATTAAATTTAATTTCTGGTCGTCATACTCTCATTTGCATACAAATCTCCAAAATGTATAGTAGCATGCCCATCAGCTCATTATTCACAGAATTAACAATACCGCTCGTATTTCAAATTCGGTCGTCCGCGTACATTATCTTCAATTTGTCCTGTCGGCGAAATGACATTCACTTCACTCAGATATTTCGAAATCCAGCGAACCCACCATGAGTCTTTCGCTTATTAACATAGTCATCTTGGGTTAAGAAGAACTTGGTCTGATGATGATCTAGCGAAAACGTTTATTTATTGACATTGAAGGTTAACGTGTTTGGAATTAGGCACTTTTCGAACTATGATGGTTTTACTCGGCTTCATTTCTTCGAAAGCGCAAGTTTTATGGAGTACAAACCAGCCATGACATGACGCAATTCAAAATGAATGTTCGGCAAGACGTCGAAGATAATAAATATGTCAAGATTAAGCACCTGAAACTAATAAACGTACCAAGGTCGTCGCAGAAGGGTATGTCACAGTATTCCCATTCAATGGAAGGATTCTTGGAGACGAAACACCACGGTCTCTCTCCCGATCCCGGGTTTCGACAGTAATTCAAAGCATCGAGAAATTCCTTATTAATGAACAACTGAAAGAAAGGAATTATTTGTTTGGGATCCACTGAGAGTGGGAAGTGCTTCACCATCACGTCTGGGAATCGTTTCATGTCTCGGAATTCACCCCATCTCATGCACGGCTTCCCTGTCTCGCTTGTCTTAACATTGCCCATGTACTCCCTGCCCATTTTCGTCATCCGACAATTTGGGTAAACCGCTCCAATTTTCGGAATTCCACCTGCAATAAAACAACATCCAGTCACCCTTCATATTCAAAGAGTGGTCTAAGTATGGGAGCGACGCAAGAAGATAGTCATCATAAAAAAAGCTCTACCCAGGAATAGCTAAGCGATATTGATGAAATTTAGTAGACAAGTTCGCCTTACCGTACGAATGAAATGAGTTAGAATTTAAAGCCTGTGGGATGAATGTAATCCCGATAGTGGCATCGGGGCTCATATTTATCACCCCAAAACGGCTGCCTATATGGCGAGATGAGGCACACCGGAGAAAACATGCAGAATGCTAAGTTGCTTTTCTCTTCCCCTCAAACCATTTCACCATAGGGCCGTATTTGGGTATGCAACTGGAAGACGGTACAGATTTCAGACCTCTAGATAAAACTTCCAAAGGTTGTTAGGTTGCTTGATTCATGGCACGTAATCGGAATGATTGCCATGCATCGACTTGAAGCATACATTATCATGATGCAGTAAACTGTTATCAATACATCTAACACAATTTCCGACAATAGATTATATATCCTAATAGTCGTAATTGCATCCAGAGATATGGTTGTGGCACATCCTCCCTGTTGGGCACTCACCAATGTCCTATGTCCAATCGCTGATTTCTGTCCAAAAACTGATTTCAAATTCACATGTATATTTCGAGAAGGCGCGCATTGCTCAATGTAAAATTTAAAAAATCATTTCTACACAAATGTGAATATTTTCAAAAAGGATAGATCAGGTTGGGTTAAATTATTTTATCTCTTTCGATTGGGACTTCCAATAAATGCGCTCTTTATCGCCATAAATTTAGAGAAAAAACATGATTTTGGAAGTAATAGGCGAACCTTAACGGCGGATCTGGAAATCGAGCAAAAGTTTTAAACCCATGATTCATGATAGGAAAATTTTTAGTGAGTCTTCTGAAATGATTATTAGAAGCATCTATGATGTGTTACTTGAGACTCCCTAGGTCCATTTTGATTATTATGCTAAACGTATTTATTGTTCCACTGACTCGTTTCTCGTTCTGGAAGAGAACAGAAGGGGACGTCGCAGTACTGCCATTCATGTTCCAAGGTGCCGTAGTAGCACCAAGGCCCGGCAGGACGACCCCCAGGATTCCTGCAGTAATTGTGCCCTTCTTGCACTTCATCTGAGAAGGCAGGGATTCTCTGGCTCCATTTGCGATATTGGCTTGACAATGGCATTTTCAACCATGGCTTGCATGGGATCCCTAAAATGGTGCTGTTCTTGGTTCCCATATATTCTCCACCTTTCTGTGTCAGCTTGCACTCCAGTGGAACTACAAAGCAATGGAAATAAGTGCATTTTGCAGAGAAAGTTGTGTTACTGCATCCAAGGGTATGCTATCTCTTAGTAACACGTCTTAAAAAGGCTGTTTTAAAAAACATGATTCATTCAATTTGTGTTTTTATTAATCTCTTTTTTTTAACTACTCCCTGATATTTCTAATGAAATTCTATTATTTATTTATCTTAAGATGAATTCTGAGTAGAACATGCCTCAATAAAACATTGAAAAGTTTTTGTAGATATATCATGTCACCATCAAGCAGGTCTAGAAATTCCTCCAGTCTGGAATTCCAAAATATGTTTTTACTCCCAGCTCTCGCCGAACCATACACAATTTGGGGAGCTACCAAATTGCCAAAATTCAAGGTAAAGGCCATGTTACCGAGCATTCAGATGGAAGAGCAGTGACTGGAACAACCTTCTTGATCAAGTCTAGAGTCAAGCGATTCATTTCCAACATGAGGATCCAATGCTTCTTGTTTCGTGATGTATAAAAACACATGAACCTATATATGTGTAATGTCCTATTTTAAAGACTAAGTTAACTGAAACCCGGTTTTGGTAATGAAAATTTTGAGGCCCATCCACATATATAACGAACTCCAGATGTCTAAATGACCGATTTTTCCCCCCTGGTTTCTCAACCGCTTCTCATCATTCACAGATAATTCGTTTGTAATTTTTCTCAAGATATGCCAAATTGATTTTACTTTTGTTGAGTTGACCTTTGCCCTGACCAGAATAACTTTAAAATTAATTTTGGATTCAAATTACTGCGTGATGCATCGCCCAAAAGCCTTTGATCTCCTCTGTTGAAATTCGTTTTTATGTTGAAAGAATCTCGAATATTAATCCTGCTGTGGTCAATCTGAGTTGAGAATTTACTGACGCCCTTTGTGGAGTCTAGGTAACTGCCTCGAGACTACCGTATGGTGCCCGTTACTTCTGGTGGAATCTTACATTTATTCTCATTTTCACTGAGAAGTTTTCGTCGTTCTCATCACCCGCGTATATTTATCTATCGGCTATCGGAAGTAGGACACATTCTTACTAAATTTGTTTAAGGTTTAGCATAGCCTAATTTATTTAACAACTTTTCATATCTAGTATTCATTAATTTAGTTATTGAAGTCAATACGGCTGCGGAAATTCCTCATTTTTTACGAATATCATTCCATCACTTGCTTAATATTTAAAACGAACAAATCCTTTAAAAAAAAAAAACAGAATAAATTCTGAATGTGCTTTTCAAGAGCTCTTTTGATTGTCATTCATTCATTCATTTCTTGGGAGCTCATGGAAATCGTATACAAGAGAGGACCGGCCCAAAAAATTAATTTGACAGGAAGAGGATTTCGACATGGTTTTGATGAAGAGGAAGATCAGTGTTCAAGTGTCCCTTCCTCTCCACTACCAGTAGAAGATCTTGTCTATTTTCAAAGTCCCACTTCCTGCAGCTAGTATTGTATTGGCCCGACGAATCAATGACAATTGGAGAATCAGTGGGAAACGTATTCATATTGGCACTCTGAATGCTTCGCAATAATATCTCAAATGCAAGCAAAGGTTTTAATGTTAAAAATAGTTGGTCTGTTTTGTCATACCCTGTACATTTCCACAGCATTGATACCACCTGTTTCATTTGAACATGTGCAATTATTATTTGGGGTTTGAGGACAATTAAGGAAATGGTATGGAAGGCGATTTCGCCGACGAAGAGAATAACGATTTCCAGGAGCCCTTCTTGATTCCATTTCTTTATCGATCAAGCTTAGCACCTTATGAGATTCCGACGAGAAGTAAAATATCGAAAGAGGACCGCATGGAGTGTAAATATGTCGATAAAGAAAATATGCGGAAGACAACAGGTCGAAATTAAAACGCTCGAAGGAACCTTCATCTCTACTGAGGCAAAGAAAATTTCCGATCATTTATCTCCTAGCTGGAGTGCCAGAGTTCATCAACTAATGAGATCTTTAATACGGTTTCAGTCCATGAATGCGATAAAAAAAGCAAAAACTCAGCAAGTGATGGTTACGACTTTTGGATGGCGGATAGGTGAGCGATTGGCAAAGTGATTGAAGTTTAGTTTCAGTTGCGCATCATGACGGGGAATAGTGCATTGACGATTCTTGGATGAGTCATATACTTCCCTTTCTAATTTTCCAGATAAATCAAGGCCGGGACGTTCTCCGATACTTGAACGTAGACCAAAAGACAAAATGCACAGACTGAAATGACAGCGAGTGCTTCTTTCTGTAGTGGTTTTCTCCCTTGCGAATTATTCGTTTTGTTAGCGTGCGGCTGACCTCAGAGGGGTTAGAATCATCTTACCGTGATCGTCGCAAACTGGGATGTCACAGAATTCCCACTCGATTTTAGAGTCGGAGATGAAACACCAGGGTCTTTCCTTCAAAGTGGGATTCCTGCAATAGTTTTCATGGGAGCCCGGGTCCTCATTGAAGAAATGCTCCTCGTAAAGAAGCGTGGCCACGAAGTCTTTCGGTTTTCCGTAGGGCTTGGAATCCCATCTGAGGCATTTCTTCCCCGTCACAGTCTCGTTTCGTCTTCCCACGTACTCCTTGCCTCTCTCCGTTTTCCGGCACTCAGGATAAACTGACAAGAATCTAACAAGTTAATTTTTGGTCTTTTTGTTTCTGTATTTTTTGTCATCCCGTAATTCGAATTAATAATCTCAATATTAGGCATGTTGATGCGTCTTGTTGAACTCACCTCGTGATAATTGACAATCTATATTATCTAAATCAATGAAAACTTTTTGAAAAGCAAATGTCAAGCCTATTCTTATAAAACATTGTTCTTCATAAGCCTGGGGACATATTTTAAGGAATTTAACGCTGATGATTCCCATTGCATTCATTATGTCATGAACTCAGAAAATTGTCATATGTGGAAAATAAGTTAGTCAATCAGCTGTCATTAACTGGGAAAAAGTGTTCCGTAGGCTGAAGTCCGGACAATTCCTCTGTAAATTCTTCTAGACCCGTATCATCTTCTCTCGAATGAGGCGGAATGTGAAGTAAGCCTCCGAGGCATGAGCCTCCGTCCTGCGTCAGCGCGGCCTTTCCTTGGGCAGAGCTGATCCACCGGATCTTCATGTATCCCGTGTAATTATACCTGACATAGCATTTAGCTCCATCTATGGGGGGATGGGTGAAAATCTTTCGGAACACACTATTTGTGCACCTACTTCGAACTCAGGTGCGGAATAGAGCATACATAAATGGGAGTTCTTTCCATTTGTCCACAAATGTAAACATTATTTGGACTGGGTAGACCAGTCTAAAAAAATTCTTCTTATAACCTTCATGAAGAGCCAGGGCGAAAAAATAGCCAAATTGCTATTAGATTGGTTTTTGGATATGATGAAGTTAATGTTGTGATGGAGTTTAGAGTTGATTTAGATTTAGGTTAGGTTCAACAAAGGCGAGGATTAGGCATCAGATCACTTATCCAATCAACACCTTCATTCATTCTCAACCCCTACCACGAGACCCACTGTTTTAAGACGAAGAGTGAAATGAAGAAGGTTGAAATGGACGCCCTGCTTAAAGGTTTCAGAGATTTCATACCCGGTTTTGAACATTTCACATTGCCAGAGCGGAAGGACGTGCACCAATGATCAGGGATTGAGGAGCAAGTGGCCTGGTGCTGCGACTTTCCATCCGTGAATCCCTCATCACAAGTGAAGACCACCTTTGCCCCAGTAGGTGCTGGGTATCGCCCGTCCCATATCTGGTATGACACCTTCGCATTCTCAAGCATTGGGTACTCCGTCAAGCAGAACTCTGCGAATCAACTTACGTTCATGAAGCAAAGAACTCACTTTTTAAGCTTAATGAGACGTCCTATTGTAGCGACTTTGAGTGTCGAATTCAACTTACCAAAGTCAGAGAGATACATAGGAATTATTATTGTGAGATCAGGTGAGCCCTACAAATGGCGACATCTAGCATGAAAGAAAGTGTAGACGTAAAATCTTAAAGGAGGTTCAAATACTGGAGAGGCATCAGTGCCAAAATATTTTGCAGTGTCAAGCCATATTTATGGAAAGGACTCCACAGTATCAGAAAATACACATCTGGATGGACTTCCATTTCAGAGCTCACGCACATCCCTTCGTTGCGCTCAATAAATTTTGAGAATATGCCTTGTCCCAGGAATGATACTCGAAGTCATCCATGGGGTGCCCGGCGGATGTCCAAGGGGATTTTAGAATATCATCGATGCCAGCTATTTGGGGTGTATGTTTCACTCTGACGCACCTGCCTGTTGTATCGATTAGGATGAGGCATCATGTTCACTTATTAACCTTACTTAGGATGTGCAAAGCTCCCCAACCTACGTAATTTGTTTGATGGAAACATCGAATAGAAATGAAGCATATGACGGAAGAGACATTGGTTGCGGCATGATGTACCTCCCATTTATCTATCTTTTATTACTTTCATTCGAAAAGGTCAAAAGTTGTGGTGGTGGTGGCTGTCACCCCAAAGCGCGGGCCTACGATGCAATGCCATTCTGGGTCATAGGCCAGGCCACCCACGGCCTAAAGCGCCAGGCCTACAAGACTATGCTTTTCCAGGTTATCTTCTTACTAGCGAGTTTGTTTGCCCTTCGGGCAAACAAACTCGCTATGGTCGCGCCTTCGGCGCTCTATTACCTTGGATAGTGATTAATTCATTCATTTTTTTGCGAAATATGAAACACGTATTCAAAGTACGTCCCCATTGAAATATGTGACATATAGGGACGAAAAACTTGATTTTCATGAAAATCATAACTTCGATTATTTCCAGTGCCTAACTTGAAATCTTTTCATGTGTCCCTTTTAGTAAGGGTGGTGAATACATCTTTAAATACTTACCTCCAATAATCTGCACTAAGGAGACATATATTTCAAAATTAGGATTTTTCCAGCTATCAAACAGGTACTTCTGAGCGAAGTTCAAATTTTGTCTCTGTTTCGTTGGATTAAAAAAAAATCAGCAAAATTGGACTGAAAAAAGTGCCCTAATTGGTTTCAACGAAAATTTTCTTTTCTTTTCAAATGATGACTCAGGGAACTCCATGCCACACAGTTTCAGTCTTAAACGTTTCTCCTTTTTCCTGGCGGAAAAAATGTGTTTGGAAATGCGACTCACCCAAAAGATGTGCTCTGAGGAGACGTATAAAAGAAGTTTAATTTTTCCTTAAATCAACATTATGTCAATGATGCATGCGCCAGCTACTTTTCTATGTCTGCCCAGTGAACTACATGCCCACAAAGTTTCAATATTATTCGTTTGCCCTTTTTGCTGGTGAGAAAAAAGGCTTGGAAAAGCTGACCCACCCAAAAGTTATGCCCGGAGGGGATGCCCCATGAAAACTGAATACTCTCTCAGCTCAGTAATATCTTGTCACTTATAAGTGTGCCAAGTTTCACATTTCCAGTTCTGTCCAATTCGTTACGACAATTTTTTTTTTAACATCGCCCCCCGAAAAAAATTCCCCCAGGGGATGTATCGAGACTTAAAATTTTTATTTAACTCTTTCTCTATGGTCTTTGTCTATTTATCTTTGGCGATGGTCGCGCCTTCGGCGCTCCATTACCGTGGATAGGGATTAATTCATTCATTTTTGCGAAATGGGAAACACATATTTAAAGTACGTCCCCATTGAAATACGTTACATATGGGGTCGAAAGTCTTGCTTTTTATCAAAATCATTACTTCTATGATTTCAGGTATGCTTAACTTGAAATCTTTTCGTGTACTTTTTTTTTTGTAAGGGAGGAGAATTCAATTTCTCATGAAAAAATACCATTACATTGTAAAGGTCAGTGAAAATTATTTTTCAATCACTGTATAAGTTGGATTTATGCAGTCCATGTCTGGTTAAGGGAAAACAAGAGAACATGACCCTGGTTTGTTCTATTTTTCTATCTGGTACTCGTGATGAGGGGCAGGCTGGTCTCCCCAACACCAATGGCTAAATTGGCTTTTTTTTAAACTAAAGGGTGCATTCTGTCTATCAGTATATAATTCCTGTTAAGTAGCCCATGGAAAGGGAAGAGGCACAGGGAAAAGAGTGAGCATGAGTATTTATCCAGTTAAGTGATGATCATAATTCAATTTTCATGAAATCAGGTGTAACTTTCGCTTTCAGTCCACGCATCCAGCTTCTGTCGGAGAAGTGGAGAAGCTGTGGAAAGATCGGAATTTTTGTCAGGAAAAGTAACTTGAAAAGTAACTTCTACTTGTAACTAGTTACTTTTGGTGAGAAGTAATTCTACTGGTAACTAATTACTTTTTGGATGAAATACTTGTAATTGGAACTAGTTACTTGTCACAAGTAACGCGCCCAACACTGGTTACACAGCAACGAGCTGCATATGAAAAAGTCACTATCGCCATTTTTTATTTGTTTTATAACATTGTTTCGTTTGTAATGTATGATATAGCTTCTTCATTCTGAATGCAACGAATTCCATCCTGTATTTATATCTCTATACTTGACGCACATTCAAACTTAGTTTCGTGGTCACTAGTTTCAGCCTTCAGGATCGTAAATGTTGAATTCATCCTCGTAACCTCTACCAGGCAGGCCTCAATATTGTCACGAAGCAGGAACCACAGCACGAGATGAGTGACGTAGCCGCCGCCACATGTTCAGACGAGCAGCTCTCTGTGGGTCGCTCTACTAGGAGGCTAAGACACGGTCATACTCGGTCAGGCGTCACTCGTAACTTTCGACCCTTGACCCTGACCTATAAGTAGTTTGCAACCCTACTCTCCCGATTCCAATTCCTTTCCTTTCTTGTCCAAACCCTCGTCCGCCAAGGTGCAATAGGGAACACAATCCTAAGTTCATCGATTACCCGAGTCCCTTCGCATAAATTAAATAAAATGGAGGACTGGGCCCTGGGACGAAGCGCACATATGGAGTGAGGGTACCCCTCTTCGTGTCGTTAGGGGAAGAAAGAATGAGCTAAGGAAGTGATTATGGTTTCAATCCTGAATACTTTTGCCTGCGGGCTAAAGGCAACTTTGTCCTCTACTCGGGATTACACATTCCCGTGGCCTGTTCCTCTTTCATTCCTGGATTAGGTATTCTCGGGTCTCTGCATCCCCGTATCTGACATTTCCGCGCTCCCTCCTCCAATCCTGATTTCCATGACTGAGCCTTTAAATGTATCATCTACGCTGTCTCGGGTATGATCCTGGAAAAACACATAGTCCTTTGCTTCCCCAATCCTGGTTGCAGTCTGAAGTCGTGGACCATCAGCACAGAGAGATCCAGTGACGCCAGGACCAGCTTCCATCCCCGTTGTGTATTATAGAGTTGTACAAAGAGAGAGAAACGGTTCCTCGAGTCAGGTAATGATGTAGACTTCTTTGTTTGTCCTCGGTGCAGTTAATGTTTCTATTTCAACTGCTGAGAGTCCTTTATCATGTTTCAAGGTACTCAGCATGTTCCAGCACGTTTCACACGTTCCTGGACAATCTGGAGTTGTTTTTCAGAAGTGGCCATATTCCCCCAACTATAGTGTTAATATGGCCTCTTGAGACCTACTCAAAAAAGACCCAAAGACGCCATAACCATGGTTTTTTTGCATACGCCTTGCTGGCATTTAGCAAAGGAGATATCAAGCAATATTTTAGAAACATTGTAAAAATCAAATTCAACCTTGATGGACCATGATGACCAGGTTTCATTTTGTAAGGCCATCTTCCCCCTAATGCCTGGCCATATTCCCCCAACAATAGGGGTCATAATTCTCTTGGGACCCATACCCCAGGTCCCAAATACTCTTTTACCATTTACTTTTCTGCACGGATCTTGTTGGGAATAAATAAAGGAGACATCAAACAATATTTTCTGAATATTGGCAAATTTTAATTTCACCTAGACGTGACGCTATAACCTGATTTCATTTTTGGTGTCCATATTCCCCCAAGTTACCCTATACAAAAATCGCCACCAGCACAACCACCTCCGTCCATGACTAAAAAATTCTCCACTAGAGATAAAAAGCTAAAAACAAGTTCATATGTCGAAGGTATCGAACTAAACCTTGTAAATCCATCAAGCACACGAATCATACTATATACAAAAATCGCCACCTGCACAACCAACTCCGTCCATGACTAAAAAATTATCTACTAGAGATAAAAAGCCTAAACCAAGTTCATATGTCGAAGATTTCGAATTGAAACTGGAAAATACGGATGTCACACCCAACAGTCTTTCTTCAAAAATCGCCACCTGCACCACCTGCAACATCTGAGAATGGAAAATTACCTAAGAGTTAAGAAGCTAAAACCAAGTTCATATGTCGAAGGTATCGAACTAAACCTTGTAAATCCATCAAGCACACTAATCACACTGAATACAAACATCGACACGTGCAGCAACTTCTACGTCTGTGACTAAAAATTCTCTAGTAGAGATTAGAAGATAAAACCCAGTTCACATGGCGAAGATATGGAACTGAAGCTATAAAATACGATTTCCACAACCTTCAGACTGTATGCAGCAATCGCCACATGCACAACCTTGCAACGTTAGAGAATAAAAAATTCTCTTGTAGAGATGAAAAGCTAAAACCCAACGACCGAGATCAGATTCCAACGACCGAGAATGAAACATTTTCCAGAAGATATCGAACTGATCCAAGAAAATACGATTTCCACAACCTTCAGTCTATATTTCCAACTAAAGATAAAAAGCTAAAACTAAGTTCATATGTCGGAGGTATCGAACTGAACCTTGTAAATCCATCA